GGAGGCTTAACGCCAGCGGGCACCCCCCCGATAATGGAGTGGTGCTGTGAGCGTGCTCGTTAAACAGCCTTTGGTCCCAAGGGCTAATGACGTCCGCTGGCATGTTTCCTTTCTCCGTCGCCCCGTCTCTCTCCTTCCGCCGCCGTGTCGCTCAGCCTCCCATCTCCTCTCGTTTCACTTTCACTCCACCTCCCAGCATTCCTTTTCCGCCTGTGCCTTTTTTTTTTTTCGCCTCTCTTCTCAGAATTTTTACCACCATCTGCATCTCGCCTCCTCCTCCTTTCTCTGCCTCCCCCTCTGTTTGGATGAGTTCTAGTGGAGTGGCGGCGTGTGGGGGAGGGAAAAGGGGGGGTGAGAGAGGTTCTGTCACACTTGCCTTCTAATGAGCAGTTTCTCCGCATGCCGCCAGTTCTGAAAGAGCCAAAATAGCAGAAACATTTCACTCTGCCGGGCCTTGATCTGTCAGCTCTGAGTGACTGCTTTTATGGCTTTCATCTGGATTGATCCCATGTTTGGGGACTTAGCGAACAGGAGAAGTGATGTAACACGCTGCCTTTGGGAGAAATTGATTAATCTTGTTTTATGTTGTTCGCAGAGGAGGGGCAACGAAACGTGGCGCTACCCGTTTTCCTCAGGGTTTCAAGCACATGTTTTTTGATGGCCTTCCACCCTTTCAACCGCCGACGACGAGTCGATATTCATTTGGAAACCGTTCACTCACTGTGCCCCCCTTCACCCACCCCTACCTACGTGGACCATGTTTTGAGCTTGGGGTATTTCCAACATCCCGGCAAATGATTAACATGAATGACCTGATTCGGACGACATGTGTTGAACCTTGACTGTTAAGTGTTCTTTTGAACACTTAACATCCGCACCCGCACCCGCACCCGCAGCGGCTCCTCTTGTTGTCTGTTTAAGAGGGAGGAAATTTCATCTGTGCTGTATACAGCACATTTGACAATGAAGTTGTACTCGACTTGAATCAAGCGTTCCATTTTCGAATCCTAAAAGCTATTCTGTAGAAGGCTTTGAAGTCTAAAAGGGGGGAAAATGTATTAGTCATTGTATGTTCTTTTGTGTCCCGAAAACTTTTTTTTTAATCGGCATATCCTGATTTTTTTTTTTTTTTTTTTTTTGCGCAAGCGAAAACACTTGCTGCACCTGTTTGGAAATTTGGCTGACTGCTCTGAGTCATTGTCAAGGTGTGTCCTTTCACACGTGGGCAATCTGGTGGTTGAAAGTTGCGTACGCCTCCTCGGACGTTGTCTTAACTTTTTTTTGGCGTAAGCTAGCCGGCTCGTCGAAGGCGAATTTGGCAAATTTGATCGAGGCGCAGGCAAACGGATTGGTGAGCGCCGCGGGTCTTGTGCGGTGGGATGTTTCATAAGTGCTCCTGGCATGGGTGTTTTTCGCAATATTTGTTTTTCTTTCGGGGGTTTCGGTATTCTATCTTTCGATCGTGTGTGCATACTTGAGGGGTTTGCGCGTGAACGCGGAGGCACCAGAGATGCGAGATTGCCGTTATCCGTATAAAATCTGGAATTTTATCCATTCTCATGCCGCAACAAAACCGCACCGATTGGAAGCCGCCGCCCACCAGATAACGTTGATCTCCACACCGGTCAGACTGGACTCGTAACGCCATACCAGAAGATCAACTTCGCATTGCGTTCTTTTTATCGGAAACTCATGACGGTATCACGCGACTTTAACCCTTTCATGAACCCTGAAACCCGATAACATGATAAGATGTCCACTGTAGTGACCGCTGTCTCGTAAGGGTTCAAAGTAAAAGGTTTTCCGGTTCTGGTAGCAAC